CAACCTACCCAGGGCACAGGAAGGCACCAAATGCAAAAGAAGAAGACACTCTATCTACTCTGACCAACAACGGGTGAGCCGCCCAATGTTCTTGAAACCAAGCAATACCCTTAGCCGGCGACGAAACAGAAGAAACTTTGCGTCGCCAATCTATCTGTATCGCTTATCTAAGAGCCTGCTTAGCACGAAGTTGCAATTCAACCAGTGTACTTCGGTGACCATGCCAAATAGCTTCATTCCGCGCTTTCCAAATGGGTTTTGGTTTTCCTTTCGGTTGGTAGGTTTTCATTTTTCCTTAGTTTTCACTGTTTTTTTGGTAGCCATGATTTGGGATTTTTGCTCGTGGTATGATTTCTGCAATTTTCGGCGGTGGCATGGTCTTTATTGCTTTCGTTTTGGTTCCCCCTTTTTGTAGTAGGTTTTTGGTTATGGAAGGTTATAAGCCGTTGCGAACTACGTTTTAGGGTTTTTTTTTTCGTTAGTTGATCTAGGATTTCTGCTTGTGGAATGATTTCTGCGATTCTTGGCGGTGGCATGGTCTTTATTGCTTTCGTTTTGGTTNTTTTTTTTTTCGTTAGTTGATCTAGGATTTCTGCTTGTGGAATGATTTCTGCGATTCTTGGCGGTGGCATGGTCTTTATTGCTTTCGTTTTGGTTTATAACGCCGCTGGGAATTACGTTTTAGGTATTTGAGTTTCGTTAGTTTTTTTTTGGATTTCGTCAATTTACGGTTTGTTAGTTTTTGGATTTTACGCAATTTACGCACTATTAGGAATTGGATAGTTGAGAAGTGGATAGTTGAGAAGTGTTTCATAGAAGTGTTTTAACTTTGAGGATTTCTACAGAGGGATGGCTTGGATGGGGAGTTCGTCCGAGGCCAGGTAACCTCTGTTACTTTTGCATTATCTTCTGCTATTTTGATGTAAGCCTTGGGCACTGGGCCCGTTGGAAATAAAAGACCAGCAATCGCAAAAAAAAAAAAAAAGGAAATCCGTTCCCCCCCGCCCCCGGCCAATCAGCTAAGTACCAAGACCAAGTACCACGTACCTGGTCAATGAGGTACCGAGTTCCATCAGATAGTACCATGTACAACGTACCTCGTTGATCAGTACGACAAGGTACCGAGTCCCATCAGCAAGGACCAAGTACCGGCGTACCTGGTCAATGAGGTTCCGAACTCCATCAGAAAGTACCACGTACAACGTATCTGGTCAATCGGTACTACAAGCCACGGAGTCCCATCAGCAAGTACCAAGTACCACGTACGTGGTCAACCACTACTACCAGGTACCGAGTCCCATCAGAACCGAGTACCAGGGACCTTGTCAACCAGTACTACCACGTACCAAGTCCCATCAGCAAGTACCAAGTACCGCCACGTGGCCATCAGCCAGTTACAAATATCACGACCGGTACCAGGTCCCATGAGCAAGTAGCGAGTTCCACGTACCTGGTCAACGCTGCTGCCAGGTACCCGAGTTCCATCAGCAAGTCGCAAGTATCACGTACCTGGTCGAAAAGTACGACCGGGTTCCGCCAACGCGGACTACCAAAATTTCCATCAGAGAACCAGCAAGCACCATCACCCAAATATCATCCAGTACCATCAAACGAGTCTTGTACCATTATCGAGGACCAAGTACGATGTCTATCGGTACCACGGATCACGTACCTGGGCAAAGGTTACTGCCAGGTACCATCATCAACAACCACAACCAAGTACCAGCAATCAACAAGTACTACCCGGGCCGTCCTAAGAACATGTAGCCAGAAAAAAAAAAAAAAAAAACATGTAGCCAGTACCAAACAAAAACAATTATCATCAACCATCAACTCAAAGACACCAACCAGATGG